TTTCCAACCTGCGTGTTGAATCCACCTGCAAGTACAACTATATCGGAGTTTCGACTCATCCGAATGAGATCAGTGAGTTCGTCGTAGAAGGCGTCCTTTTGAGTATCATAGCTGCAATTGGTCGCTGCATATGCCGATTCGATAAACAAACACCTTTTGGTGTTGCCTCCCTTCCGGACGCTCATTGAACCCTGGAGACGCACTGCACATAAACGACTGTTGACGGGGATCCAATCGATAAGAGAGGACTCCGGCCTGTTGCTGAGTACAACACCTACCCCGTACTGACCCACTGAGCGGGCTTTGTCGTCGCCTGATGTACGAAGAACATATCTCGAATACAAATCTGGCGCGTTCAAGTGGCTTATAGTAGTAAGATCCTGGATACGAGTCTCCGATACGCAGCAAATATTGATCCCCAAGGATTCCACCGTACGCGACAGACAAGCTTGCATCAATGTCCTCACGTTGAAGGCCCCGAGATTCAGTGATTGACAAGGCTCTAGAATCTGCGATTCGTTTCGAGATGCATTACTTGTAGTGCTATTTGGCAACGACCTTTGGCGGGCGACATCCAAGTTGCTTGAGGGACTATTACAGGTCGGAACAAGGGGAAAATGGAGAGGGCTGGTTAATAAAGACAAAGAATTAAACGAAGGTTGGGAAATATTCTTCCTCTTCCGCACCAAACGCTTCAACGCTGTTCACCTCTCACTTTAATTGTACCCAGGAAGTGTACTTTCGTCACAATAACCTTGGACTGGCTCTGAAATAGCCGTCTATCCAATGGTCACTCGGCGTTGCAAACAAGGTTATTGTGACGAATATATATATATATATATAGCATTATTGTTCTCTTTACCATCCCATGACAGTATAACCTTGGGCTCCAAACATAATCATGAAGTTCCTTGGGAGTTTGTTGCGAAAGACGTCCCCAGCGTCACTCGGCGGTTTTTTTTATTTTGAGGGTGCGCCTCTATCCTTTGCACAACCAGGTGCAAACTGAAAGGCAGCAGGAAGTAATCCCCCGCCTCGGAAGTGAGCGGTCAATGACTTAGAAGGCCAGTCATATCGACCTTCGTCACGACACCGTCATTGGGCTTGTGGCTTTTAAACAGGAGCCGGGTGACCAGCCTGAAACCTACCACACCCTGGTAGTGCAGCCGCTGTTTATGTCCGCGATTGCTTATTTGTTGCGATATGCCACCAGTTTTTTTCGGTGAACGTATCCCCTACTCACAACTTGGGGACGCGCCTGGTAGCATTCAGCTCTGCTTAACCCGAGGGTATCTATCTGTGATGCGTCCACCAGGTGAGATATAGCTGCCTAAATAGCAAAATTGGTCTACTTCCTCTACTACTTCTCCAGTTAGTGAGTTGGGAGGCTGAGCCAACAATGTCGTCTGCGTATTCCGGACCAGAATATCTATCACCGGGGTCTAAATCGATACCGCTGTCCTCGCACTAGGACAAGGCTGTTTCAAGAATTTAACATATGAAAGTTAAATAGAAAAGGAGAGGGTAACTCTGCCGAACACTTCCAGGCGAAAAGGTACCGTAAGCGTGGACTCGGCTCCGGCTTTTAGCATAGAGACCGCAAAATTGAAATAAACTTCTTGAGCACACTTTGGCGCAAGCGTCGTCATATAGCGAAACATAGTGCAGCGAACTTCACTGATCGCTGCAAAACTCGTAATGCATACAATGTGGACAGGGACCCATTTTGAGGAAACGAAAGGAAGGTGAACCCCTATGATCAGAACATAGCCCAACTGCGCAAACATTCTGGACTGATAAGAAGTGATGGCAAGAACACCAATGCAGTTCGGTTCGCTACCAGATGCTTCAGTCTCCAACCAACCAGTTGCAGTCTTTCGGGCCCCAAATTGCAAAGCGCGAGACACCTTTACCTAACAGTTGTGTATCTATTCATGCCTCATCTGTTGACCTTCACGGGGCTTCTTCCAGCTCGGAGCGGCTACAGCGAATATAGAGCAGACGACACTTGGGCATAAGCAATAATTGGCCTAGCCAGCAGAGCCCACCAATCTGCGTCAGATGAGCTAGTAAGTTTATCCCAGATAAAATCCCAAACACACGACGGCACTAACCGGTTCGCTCCATCGCACGTGGGCTAAACTGCGTAAACACCGATGACTGAAAAGCTCGGGCCGATCGATATTGTCTACTCACAGGTTCAAAGCAATTCAAGGCACAATATATTCGGCCTATCAGCTTTAGTGAAATGTAGCGTCTACACCGAAAGTGTTTCAGTCCTGCATGCGCCTTGGCAACGCGGGCGGTGATCTCCTTAGCTTCGCTACCGTCAATGATCACAAAGAAAAGCAATCAACTACAACTCATCACCATTACCGCTGCCAAACTCGCAATGCATACAAGATTAGTGGTGAAATTCAAGGTGGACAGGGATTGGACCTACTCTGAGGGAGGGAGATGAAAGTGAACCCCTATGGTCAACACAGAGCGCACAATCGGACTTTACATGCATACCGTTTCAAGCGTTCTAGCCTAATTCCCGGCCATTTCGATTCATATTAGGACACCCAATTTTGCAGCATCGCTCAGCAATTTGAAGGTGCAAAGCACTCACCGAATATAGCAACAGCAC